GAGTTGTATGAGTTCCTTGTATATTTTGGATATTAGCCCCTTATCGGAGGCATTGTTTGTAAAAAGCTTCTCCCATTCGGTTGGTTGCCTATTTATTTTGTTAATGGTTTATTTTGCTGTGCAGAAGCTTTTTAGTTTGTTCACTGCAGCTTTACTTATGGTGGCCAAGACATGGAAACAACCAAGGTGTCCTTCAATAGATGACTGGATAAAGAAGTTTATGTGGTATATTTACACAATGAAATACTATTCTGCCATTGCGGCAACGTGGATGGATCTTGAGATTATAATGCTAAGTGAAATAAGTCAGACAGAAAAAGTAGAGAACCATATAATTTCACTCATATGTGGGATATAAAAGTGAAAGCAACAAAGGTACAAGACAAACAAAGACAGAAAAACTCATAGACACAGACAATATTTTACTGGTTATCAGAGGGTAAAGGGGAAGGGGGTGGTAGATGAGGGTAAAGGGGATCAAATATATGGTGATGGAAAGAGAACTGACTCAGGATGGTGAACACAATGTGGTATATAGATGATATATTACAGAATTGTATACCTGAAATCTGTAACTTTGCTAACAATTGTCACGCCAATAAACTCTAATTAAAAAAAAAAGAATATTACATAGAAAATGCACAAATTGTTAATAGGGAAATATGGACCAAAAATGTTAACAGTGGTTATATATAATATGAAATAAAATATGTAACTAATTGGGGAAAAAAAAAAAGTTGATAGGGAACTTTACAATGGGTGGATTAGCCCGACTATACTTGAACTAGTGATCAGTCTTAATCACCAGAGAAAGAGATAACCAGACATTATGTGACTTCTGATATTATGCAAAAGAATGTAAAATAGTGTATAATTATTTCAAAAAAACTTAAACCCAAGTCTGATCAGGCCTCTGAGTTTAACTACCAGTTCATAAGAACCACAGGTGATAGAGGAATATGTTAAACAACACCCCAGAAACACAGTCAGCAAAATGTGAACTGTTCAGTAAGACAAATAACCTATTCTATGCATCAAATAAATTACAAGGGGGGAAAGGGCAGAGAAAAAAGAAACTACAGATTAAAAGAGGCTTAGGAAATCTAACAACTAAAAACAATATGTGCACCTTGTTTAGATCTTGACTTAAGCAAACCAATTGTACAAAAAAGTAAAACCCTTTATGACAATAGGGGAAAATGTGGATCCTGATTAGATATTTAATTATATTAAAGAATTGTTAATTTTTACATATGATGATAGTATTGTGGTTATATTAAAACAACAAAAAGGTGTCCCTATCTTTCAGAGACACATACAAATGCATATTTACATATACTTAAAGATAAAATTGATATGATGTACAAGAATTGCTTCAAAATAGTCTGGGAAAAAGATGCAGGGTGCTCTGGTATAGATAAAATAAATTGGCCATGTACTGACTGTTGAAATTGAGTAATGGGTGCATAAAGTTTCATTAAACTCTCTATTTTTATATGTTTTTAAATGTTCATTTTGAAATTTGAAAAAAAAATTTAAAAAGAAAGAATTGTCGGGCCAGCTGAGTGGCGCGATGGTTAAGAACTGGCTTGGGATGCCAGAGGGCACAGGTTCAGATACCACATATGAGGGCCAGTGCACTGCTCTCCACAGCTAAGATGCTGAACAACAGCTCCACCCTGGAGCTGGGCTGCTGTGAGTCGCCTGCGACGGCGTAGGCTG